AAGTTCTTTCTTGCTGGTATTTACAGGCTTTTCTGTTTTGGGTTCAGGGTTTAGGGTGTAGGGGTTTAGGGGTTTAGGGTTTAGGGTTGGGAGAGGAAGTTTGGTGGAAGTTTGGGGGCCTGGGAGAGGAAGTTTGGTGGAAGTTTTGGGGGCCTGGGAGAGGAAGTTTGGTGGAAGTTTAGCGGCCTGGGCGAGGAAGTTTGATTGAAGTTTGGCCGGGGCCGGGTTGCCGAATCCGGCAGATTCTGCCGGATTCGGCAAACCATGGTTTGCCGAATTCGGCAGGATGGGTCGAATTCGACGAATGGATTTGCCGAAGATTCGCTTCATTTTGGGCTGCCCAAACCTAAGGATTTTGCCGAAGGATCTGCCGAAACGTGTTGCCGAAAACGACCGATTCAGCTGAATCCTACGCTTTCGGGATTAGGCAACTTTCTGCCTAACCGGGTCTATTGGGTGTGCTGATTTGCGACGCCATTTCGGCTCGCACCAAAATTGGGGCACCTTCTCGGCGTAGACGGTGCCAATGGGTGCCCCAGTTTCGGCGCGCGAAAAAATTGGGGCACCTTTTTGGGGCTCCTCTTCCGGATACAGGCGCGATCCACCGACGGCCATTTCGGCTCGCACCACAATTGGGGCACCTTCTCGGTACAGACGGTGCCAATGGGTGCCCCAATTTCGGCGCGCGAAAAAATTGGGGCACCTTTTTTGGGGCACCTCTTCCGGATACAGGCGCGATCCACCGACGAGCGAGCTGCAAAAAAAAGGGCAGCGTTCCGTTCCCCGACAGCCCCCCGCGAGGGAGGCTGAGAGGGTATCCCGCCCAGGCACACAGGCCTGGCGGGGGTGGCGAGGCTTCGGAACCGCTCGCTCCAGCACGAGGTTCCCCTCATTCCCCGCTGCCCTAGCTCACACAGCGCCCAGGTGCCCCCTCACAGCAGCCCAAATCCCCACCTCCCTCACCTGCCTCACTGCTTCCTGGAAGAGGATGGGTGAGGATAGCGGTGTAGGAGGACGATGCGACGAAGCAGCGACGACGGCGACGGCGACGACGACGGTGGGGATTTCGGTGAGGATAGAGGCGGGGACGGATGACACGCAGCGCGACCACCAGCGCTGGTGGTGAGGGTTGGGGGGTGGGAAGCTGCAGCCCCCCAGGCGCCGCTGCAGCCCCAGACTCGCTGCAGTGCCCCAAGCCCTCACAGTCGCTGCAGCCCCCAGCTTCGCTGCTGCGTGCCAGGTCCTCACAGTCGCTGAAGCCGCCTCACGGGTTTCAGGTAGAGGTGCTGGGGACCGGGGGGTGAGGTGGTGAGGGTTGCGGCGGTGAGGATTCCGGTGAGGATAGCGGTGAGGATAGAGGCGACTGCGCGACGACCAGCACTGGTGGTGAGGGCCGAGGGTGAGGACAGAGGCGGGGACGGATGACACGACGCGGCGACGACACGACGCGACGACGACGCGACGACGACGACGACGATGACGCGGCGACGACGAGGGGACGACGCGACGACGACGAAGACGACGACGACGCGGCGACGACGACGACGCGACGAGGACGACGACGCGGCAATGACGACGACGCGACGAGGACGACGATGCGGCGACGACACGGCGGGACGACGAGGCGACGACACAGAATGTTGCCACCGAAATGTTGCCACTGAAATGATTCCACCGAAATGTCCACCGAGGCGGGGCGAGGCAGGGACGACGACAGCCTCGCTGCCGCTGCCCCAACCAGCCTCGCTGCAGTGCCCGGGCCCTCACAATCACTGCAGCGTTCGGCCTCGCTGCAGCGAACCAGGTTCTGACAGTCGCCCTCCATCACGGGTTTCAGGTGGAGGTGCTGGACCCGACGACCAGCACTGCTGATGAGGGCCGGCGAGGATGGCGGTGAGGATAGCGGTGAGGATAACGGATGACACGACTGCGCGACGACCAGCACTGCTGGTAGGATCCGATGAGGGCGGGGACTGCATGACACGACAGCACGCCGACCAGCAGTGCACATGGTGGTGAGGGCCAGGGAGTGAGGATAGGGGCGGTGAGGAGGATTACGGTTAATGAGGACAGCGGTGATGACAGAGGCGGGGAAGGATGACACGACTGAGCCGCCCAAGCCGCGTGCCCCTTCTAGCGCGTTGAGCGGGCGGCCGTCCCGCCGAGGCGGCTAATAAATGTCATCGTGGGCTCAGCAACGAAACAACATCCGCCGGGCCGTCGAGGCCGGCGCCTCCGCCAGGACCTCCGCCCAGGGCTCCGAGCTCCTCCGGCTGCCCAGCGGCCAGCAGCTGCTCCTGAGCAGACCGGACGGTCAATCCACCCGAGCCGGGCAGTTCTACTATCAGCTCGCCGGACGCCGCCCGCCCTCGCGGCGCTTCGACGAAGCACAGCAGCTCGTGCGCGAAGGGCCGAACGACTACATTTACCTTCGCGGCGGCACTAAGAGGCTGGTTCGCGCTCTGCAGCCCGACGGCTCCTATCGCGTCACGAAGCTCGGCAAGAGCTTCTTCCGGGACAAGTTCACCGAGTATATCGCACACATGCCGGTCAAGATCCGCGGGAGGCGGCGCAACGGGAATCCCTATGAAAGGGATTTCTTCCTGCCCATCACCCTGGAGGGTGGCCAGAGCGACTCCCTGGGCGAGGCGGAGGCCCACCGGAACGTCGTCGCCTGCGGAAGATGGGCGACCCGGAAGACGGAGGCGTCGTCATGGAGCTCAGCGAGGAGGTCTACACCTACGACGCCACGCGTGACTGGGGCATCTCCAAGCAGAGCACGCAGGTGGTCGACAACCGCGTGGAGACGCAGGTGACGCTGAGCCGACCCCTGAGCGTCCTGCGGGACGTGTCCTTCCAGCTCTTCCGGGGCTCCGAGATTCTGGAGAGCGCCTTGGAGCAGCGGGACGACCGGCTTTGCGTGGTGCGGCAGCTCGCGGAGCTGCTGCGGCTCCCCTTCGAGGAGGTCTACTCCGATTTCGACGCCATCTGCCCCAGGGGCTGGCAGAAGAAGGGCGTGACGGGTCGGCAGATGCGCGAGTTCTGCGAGTGGCGCAAGGCGCCGCTCTTCATCGTCAACTGCCGAGGGCAGATGCTGGACTGCTACGAGCCGCTCGATCGGGAGCACAGGCCCGTGGCCTGCTGCATTTATCGGGACCACGCTTTTTTTATCGGAGCGCTGGGGGCGGGGCTGCGAGGCGGATCACATCGTGCCGGTGCACCAGGCCTTCTATGGCCAGCGGCAACCCCTGCAGGCCCTGTGCCAGGAGTGCCACGCCTCGAAGACCCTCCTGGAGTGCTCCCACGCCACGAGCCTGGAGAGCAGGTTCTGCCGCCACGTCCTCGAGGCCTACGCTTGCTCGCCCGCCCCTCTTTCCAAGTGCGACCCCGACAAAGTCTGCCACGGCGTGGACGTGGTGAGGTGCCGCAAGAACGCGCTCGCGAACGCCCCCTTCCCCCTGCCCGTCTTCTGTCCCCTCGACAACATCCGAGAGGCCGAGGAGGGGAAGCTGGCGGATGTGACCTTCGTCAGGAAGCGGGAGGACCGGCGGTCGCCCTTGGCGGCCCGGCTGGTGCGGGAAGCCCGCCACCGCCTTCACGCTGGCCTCGCCACCTGGGCCGACTTCGAGTGGTCCCTGGACGCCACGGCGCACGTCTCGCCGGACTGCCTGGCCCGGGCGCTGGAGATCATGGAGCGGGCCTGGCCCGAGGGCGAGGCGCACATGGCGAAGCTCGCCGTCAACGCCCTGATCGGGCTGTGGGCTCGCTCCAAGGACGTCTTCTGCTCGATGAGGACCAGCAACCACGAGGTGGACGGGCGGGGGTGTCAGTACCAGCAGGTCTTCGTCGACGACCGGGGGAGGAGCCACTACGACCACATCTATGCAACCGAGCTTTTCAGCAACCACTCCATGAGGCCGGCGCACGACTTCGTCATGGCCTCGGAGCACGTGGAGCTCGCCCGGATCCACTGGGCCCTGCGCGAGGTGCCCTCCCGCTACCTCGTGGCGGTGAAGACGGACTGCCTGGTGTACCAGAGCCTGCCCAAAAAGTTCTTGAAGCAGGTGGAGGCCTTGGTGAGGCGCCGGCACCGGGACTGCACGCCGAAGTATCGCTTCGAGGAGGTGAAGCGCCTTGAGGGGGACTACGGCGAGCCGCAGGAACCGTGGCGGCACGTGGCGGACCCCGTGGACCACTGCCTCTGCGGCAAGAGCCTCCTGCTCTCCGGGATGCCGGGAAGGATTTGTTGCATAAATGTGTTGTTATCTTTTTTAAGAGTGTTGTTAACTTCTTGCTATTATTCTGGGTCTCGGGGGGGGGGCAGGGCGGGCAGAAAATCTTTTGCTACCATGATTTTTACTATTACTCTAATTTCTTTTACTTATTTAGGTCCGCGATAAATTCAGATTCACAACAAGTATTCAGCATATAGGAAATCAAATATGATGAGGCTGACGCCTCCCCTCAATTTTAAAGTTCCAACCCTAAACCCCTAAGTCCTGACCTGAGGGTCGCAGGGCCTAGGTTTCAAACTCTAAACCCCTAGGCCCTGACCTAAGGGTTGCAGGGCCTAGGGGTTTAAAACTCGGACACAATCGCCAATTCCTGGCGACCAGTCTAGGATCCTGCTAGGACCTTTGAGGAGGGCCTGGGCTGGTCCTAGACTAAAATCGTGATTGTGCTGTTTCCTGCATATATCTGGACGCTTAAGATTCGTTCGATGACGTTGAAATGAGGCTTTCAACTTGCATCAGACAGACCCAGTGTTGCAAGGGATATTTGTTGAAAGCTTGTGGCTGCAGCATGCCCGTGGCCCAATTTGCTTCTGGCTCGGTACTCATTGTTTCCGAATAGAGTTTTTGATGCAGCCAATACAAATAAGCAGGAAATGAAACCGCTTCAGATGCATTGTCATTCTAAGTGTGATTGCTGAGTCATGCTTGTCACTCGCCTCACGACATGCAGCAGGCTTTAGGATTCAGCTTCTCTGCAGCAACACCATGTCGGATGCAGAGGCTGTCAGTCTCCCGCCTTCGGTTGATGACTGCGATGAACGTTCACAGGCAGCTTCAGAAGCTGCGTCAGTTTCTCTGCCGCCATCCGTCAATTCTGATCCCGATGAGCCAGGGCAGGCAGGGCCTTCATCCGGAGCCAAGGTCGCAGCATCTTGTTGCCGGAATGCTTGTCTGGAAACTTGGCGAGGGAAAGCTGAGGAGCTGCAGCTGGCACTGGCCAGCCTGAGCTTTCATGAACGACAGGCCAAGATTTTTGAAGAAGTGAAGCGTGTTGTGAAAGACAACAGTCCTGATGGTTCAACAGGCTCAGGCCGGTTGAAATGGAGCATGTTCGGGGCCTCTGTTTGCCGGATCTTTTGCCAGAATCACTGCTTCCAAAGCAACCCGAAGACCATCGACAAGATGATCCAATATGCTCGCTCTGGGCTCTCAGAGCTCCCGGAAAGGGGGCCAAGACTGCCACGAGAGACTAAAACGAGTGATGAATTAGATGTCTGGTTCCTCGAGGTCTACAAGAATCTGGCAGAGCCTTTAGCGGTGGAAGGGTCTGAGAGCAGTAAACTGGCGACTGCCGCCGGGGAGCAGCATGAGTTGGTGGTCGACGAGACTCATCCCCTGTATGCCATGAGTGTCAACCTTGATGGCAAGAAGTCGGCCGCTGTCCCGAAAAGATTCTTGAACTTTGCCGTGGCCGAGGACTTATGGCGATTCTACGAGGTCGATGTGCCAAAGAATGAGCAGTGCAGTCGAAACACAGTTATGAAGGGCTACCAGCGATGGAAAAGGTTTTTGCCCCTGAAGGACCCTGGTGACGGAACGAAGTGCAGTATCTGTGCTACCTTGGCAGAACGAAAAGCGCAATGCAGCACCAAGGTAGAAAGGGAGCAAGTGAATGTGGACCTCAAGCATCACTTGGAATGTGTCAGGGGAGATCGCACTGTCAACAACCGGACCAACAAGCACGCGTCTGAGAAGACTGTGTATATGTCCAAGGACAGGTACATGAAGGTAATGATCGATGGCATGGACCAGGCCAAATTTTGCCTCCCTCGTCACAGGAAATTGGCAGCGACCAGTGACGCCTCCAAGCGATGGAGACCAGCAATTCATGTCACAGGCGTCATTACATGGGGTCTGCTAGAAATATACTTCATACTCCCTAGCAGTGTCCCCAAGGACTCAAACATGAATGCCACGATTTTGGCTCGTTGCTTGGACATTGCTCAAGAATCATTGGAGGAGGGCCAGTCGCTGCCGGATCACCTCCTAGTCCAGGTTGACAACACAACGAGAGAATCGAAGAATCAGCACTTTGCGTTGTTTCTCTCGTATTTGGCCTCTTCCGTCTTCAAGAGTGTTGAATGTCATTATCTCCAAGTTTCGCACACAAAGAATGAGCTGGACCAGCGTTTCAGCACAATGGCCAGCATCATCAAGCAGGCCGAGTGCATCGAAGATCTTGAGGAGTTACGGGACTACATCAAGTCTCACATGACCACAGCTGAGCATCGGAAGCTCGTGGTTGAGATTCTCCCCAACACTTGGAACTTTCAAGAATGGTTTGCTGTCACTGGCATCCAGCTGAGTGGGCTGGTCTCCACTCACTTCGAACCCTACGCGAATCATGTGTGGCGATTCCAGAGAAGGGCTGACGTTTCGGGCGAGATTGTGTCGGAGCTGAGGAATGTGACCCCGGATGATGGGGACGTGGTGCTCACTGTGAAGCAATTCATGTGCTCGCAAAACCCCTCGCAGGACCCCGTCCTCATGCTGCCCTTGCAAGCAGCACAGAGTTTGAAGGGCCGGTCCTTGACAGCCATGAGCCCGAACCCTTTCGCCAAAAAGACGCTTACGGAGTTTAGGAAGACCGCCAATTGGGTAGCATCGGATCCTTGGCTGCTGCTGAAAGGCCAAATGTTCTTGGAAGAAATCTGCAGCTTGAATGAAGCGGGCCAGACCCACGGCGAGCCTCCCAAGCTTCACTTTGTGTTTGCCGGGGATGAACGTTGTGACTTCGATGATGGCCCCATTTTGGCAGACTTGGACCCTCCGGGACCAGGCCCAGCTCCTCGCGAGGTTCGGGTCGCTCCCAAGAAGCGTGTCATGCGGAGACCAGCAGCGCCCGCCAAAAGGCCTGCCATGATGGCTGCCTCAAGAGCAAGCCCGTCTTGCCCGGCAGCAGAATCGGGAGTGGACCCCCTGGTCGTCTTTGGTCGTCCTGCAGAGTCAGAAGCTGAATCAGAATCAGCTGCTGCTGCTGGTGCCGTGAATGCCGCAGCTGACGCAGACCCTGTGGACCAGGATGCCTCCATGGCAGCCGCAGCTGAGTTACCAGCAGCCGATCCAGGTCCAATTCTTGGAGCAGACCCTGCAGCTCCAGCAGCAGCAGCTGTGGGTCAGCGTAGAGTGATGCACTTTGGTTGCTCGAAGTGTCGGAAGAACCCGGCAGGATGTCCTGGTCGTTGCCGAAAATTCGCAGCCGAAGGCAGGAATGATTATGGCTATGATGAGCAGGGCAATGTAGTTCGCTTTGAGCCTGCCGAGTAGAAAGGACTGACTGATCAGACTCAAAGAAGTTAAGGCGGCGTGTGATATCATCACTTGGCATTGGCTCCACGTCAGACAGCCTGAGCCTGTCGTTTTTTAAGAGTATTCCTGAGACTGTTATCCGCGGGTTTGAGAAAAATGTCGAAGCGGTTTTTCACCGGACCAGGACCAGTGATCGTCGAATGGATTTAATTTTCAGCCGCCGCAATCAGAGTCTCAAACTTAGGGCCTGTTTTTTCCTGAGAAGATGATGACGTCCGTGACTCCAGAGATGGTCTGCGCCCTTGGTGCTGAAATCTCCGCGGATGAGGCTGACTCCCAGCTCGAAGTCATTACGGAGACCTTGCGCATGACGGAAGACTTTTGGGCCCAGAGTCCTCGCTGGGCGCCTCAATTCCACTTTGTGATGTGCCTCTTCACTTGTGTGCGATGCTATGTGGAAAACCGCCCTGCTTCCGGGACTGATGTCCCCTGTTGGCAGCCTCAGAGGACTCACCCTGGCCCATGTCGTGATGTGCCATACTGTGAGCCGACGAAGCTGGAGCTCTTGCATCAGACCCCACACACTGTGTACCACCATCAGGAACACTGCTTGGTTCGGATGGAAGAGGACTCGATCATGATTAGGGCAGCTTTACAAGTCCTCAGTAACAGGCAACTCTTTGAAACTTTGTGGCCCAAAGTCTCCGGCCTTCCGGAAATGATGCAAGCAGCCAAGACTTTTCTCACTGATCATCATGTGTGGCTGACAGGCTTTCGTCAGGGTGGCGGCCCTGAGCTTAGGCCCTAGGCCCTAGGCGTTGAGTGCCCGATGACATTATTGCGGCGGGCCAGCAAGGAGCATTTTTAAAACCGATTGCTTGTCGGGATTTGGATGCTGCAGCAAAATAGATAAATATGACAATGAGTTAGGGTGCTGATGACAGCCCGAGGCAGGCCCAGGCCCAGTGACTGACTCCGACATCATGTCAGCGCCACATGCACACCACAAATTGACACGCACTGTCTTGACTTGAATTGAAATTGACAGTCTGACCAGCATTCAGTCAGTGAGCTGCTGTCGCAAGATTTTGAGCTGCTCAAGACAGAGGTCAGATCTTTAAGCCTGAAGGTCAGTGCTGCCGATGGAGCATGGAGGCGGAGGACCAGGACGACGAAACCTGGAGCTGCGAATTAAGCGGTCCTGCTGCAGTCAGTGCCAGTGCCAGGTGCCCTGGTCCGACGAGCTGCGGCGCTGGGCCCAGCTCACTCCCTGGACGCTCTGTTTGAAGGGCTTCCAGGACCATGTCATCCCAGGCTTGGCGCTGTCCCAGTCCTGGTCCTCAGAGGCATGATGACGGCGGAAGTCTTCTAGGAACTGACGGTATTCGATCATCAAGGCTGTCAGGAACGCCGACCACGTCACCTGCTGCTGCTGCTGCTGCTGCTGCTGCTGCTCTGAGACTCGCTGTCTTTTGCACGGGGTGAAGTCCGGCGGCGGGTGACTCTTCCTTGGAGGAGGCCGGACGAAGGGCTGGACGGCTCTGACTCTGACGCCGAAACTTTTGGGACAGCACCTGCAGCCCTATAAGCAGTGACAGACTTAGACTTGATCTGAGAATCTTAGTTAGCTCAATGTCAGGGGCGGTGACGTTGAGACAAAAAATCAGCAGCAGAATCACAAGTCGACTTTGTTGCTCTGCAGCTGTTGGACCTGGACCCCGGATGAATCACGCTTTGAGCCTGAGATGTTTGGCTCAAGGTCGTAGCAGCAGCAGTGACGGCAGCCTCAGGGGTTTCAGCCATGAGCGAAGAAGATAAAGTTTCTTTGCCCGGCTCGATTGAAGATGATGATAACCTCAGCCATCAAGCTGAGTCTGACTCGCAAGTTGATCTACCCAGCGTCGATGATGATGATGGGTCCGACGCTGTTTCCCTGCCTTCCGCTCCTGAGTCTGTTGGCAGTGACGATAACTTTTCCGAGGTCAGTCTTCCGTCAGAGCTGGAGGATGAAGATGGCCCAGGGATCCACGATTCAGTCTTGGACTCGGTGCCCCTGCCAACGCCAAAGCGTCGCCGCCAAGGGTCAGGCTGGCCTGGAGCTTCTTCCAGCAGCAATTACCGAGTCTCAGGGCCAGCTGCGGCAAAAAAGTTCCAGGAACCACAAGACTGCTTGGAACTGTACTCCAGGCCTCGTGTGCTGCCTGTGGCGGCTCGCAGCGGGGCCCGTGGAGTATTTAGTTTGGATATCCAGACTGGCTGGGACTTTCGGCACGCCGAGACACGGGCCTTATCCCTGGACCTGATACGCCGCTGCAACGTGCATATGGTGTATCTTTCTCCGCCCTGCACAGTATTTAGCCCTTTGCAGAGGATCAGCAAAAATAAAAGAGACCCTGTCAAGTGGGCCAAACGCTGGGAGCAGGGGAATCTCTTCGTGAGGCATTCTTGTGAGGCCGCCGAAATTCAGCTGACTCACAATCGCTTCTTCATGTTCGAACACCCAGCCGGGGCAAGCAGCTGGACCCAAGTGCCAGAACTGAAGAATTTGACTTCGCGTGATGGTGTGCAGTCCATCCAGTTTGACCAGTGCATGCTGGGCCTGCGGTCACCCCGGGGAGAGCTCATGAAGAAAAGAACCCAGATCCTTACCAACTGTAGCAAATTGGTGAGGGCCCTGTCAAAATATCAGTGTGACAAATGTCACAGCCATCGTCGTATCCACGGCGCCGAAAACGGCTTCCGCCTTTCGACATGGGCCCAAACATACCCTGAGGATATGGTGAGGGTTCTGGCTGCGAGTAGCAAGCCCTGAGCCCCATATCTAATTTGAATCTTGAGGCTTTTTGAAGGCCCAGCGAGGCATCCCAAAGATTAAAAGGCAGCCGTTGAATGCCGGGGCTCAGGGCTAAATAATAATAGCAGTCATCCTCGAGCTTTATGTCTTCGCTGCTGATCTCAAACAACCTCGAGTGCCTGAGCCTGCTGCTGTTGCCTTGAAGATTGACTCATCGCAGAGGGTTTAGGATGATGATGTCCATTGAATGAGAGATGAACGGTGCACGGGGGGCTTCAATGAATAGCTAAAATCAAGGACACAAACTCCACGCAAAATTGGCTGACAACAAAACGCGCGCAAAATGGCCTGAGAGCAAAACCCGCGCAGGGACTCCGGACCCGGAACGCAAACAGCCGCAACTCGACCTCGGAAATCTCAAGGCCGAGAAGGGCCAGGTTCAATTGAACCTGGCGCATATCGGCCCTCCCAGGCACTTCCGGCGCAACGCCACCTTGAAAATTTCGAAGGCGACTTCGCGCGGTTTGCTCTGAACGCCACGAGAAGGGCCAGGTTCAATTGAACCTGGCGCAAGTCGACCTCGAAAATTTCGAGGTCGACTTCGCGCGGTTTTCAAAACGCCAACAGCCGGAAGCCCAGCCAGAAGCTCAGTTTTGCACGCAGCTGCAGGCTGAAGGCAGCCTGACACTTAGGCTGGCTGTTGTGGTTTCTGTCACTACCTGTGAGCTCCTGGTCCTCCGTAGGTTTTGTGAGAAGCAGCTGCCAGTTAGCCCTAGCTCTGTGTCCAGCCTCAGCCTTTGAGCCTGCCGACATAATGGAAGCTGCCACCCCAGTGCCAGCAGCTGACTCCCAAGGGTCCTTCGTTGAGACGCCTGAGCCTCGACGGGCAGCAACGATGGATCTTGAAACGCCCGAGGAGGCAGTGAAAAACATCAGGTCTCCGGGCTTGAAGCGGCAATGCCTTGAGGGGGCATTCTCCATGGCAAAGGATGCTGCCCAGGAGGCTGTCGCCATGAATGATGATGCTGCTGAATGCAGCCCAGATCACAAGGCCTGCCAGGCCCTCCTGGACGACCTCAAGGCTGAGGTTCGCAGATGTGGCGGGGGCCCGGTGCAATACCTGGAAAAGCATGCCGAGGCGGCAGGATTCCGAGAGTGGCTGCTGGACCACTTCCCGCTGCAGGATGAGTTTCACTACTCCCATGAGAAGAACCTGCAGCCGATCGAAGAAAAGGAGATGTCGGATGTGCTGCCTTTGACCGTCCACGTCTCTGCGTTGGGCTTTTCCAGGGAATGCAGCCTCAAGCCTCCCTGTGGCCTGGACCTCATGATGACTTTGTGTGACTTGTACTTGAAGGACGGGTTCACAACGGCCGGAGAGCCCTTGCTGGTTCTGCAGCAGGTGACGCCCAGCATCTCTAAGGACTTGCCGGCACTTGATGAGGATGGCTTGCAAACGTTCAGTTTGGGGTACCTGAAAGGCTTTGCCCGGGCTGCAAGCCTCCTTTGCTTGCTGCATTTCATGAAGAAGCAAGGACTGAATGTCAAGAAGCAGTACCCCACCCTCTGGGAGACTGTGATTCGCATTCGTGTGCATCATATCAAGACTGAGAGCCGGCTGAATGAGGCCCTGACCAACATGAAGATTTCGTGCAAGGGCTCCATTCGCAAGGCCACCAACACGGTCCAGTGTGTCTTCATGCTGAAGTCACTGATGAAAGTGGGAGTCCCCGAGCCCATGGCCTTGGTGAAGCAGTGGAATGCCATGTCGGCGCGGGCTTTCCAAATCAGTGGGAAACGCATGACGACTCTGAAGCTTCTGTTTGACAGTGCCCCGAAGGCCAGGCAATCATTGATCGTCTGTGTACTTAGGGGTCGGGTCTTAATCCAAAATAATTCTCTCGGCCCCTCTAAGAGGCGGTCCTGGACGACATCCTGGACCATGTGCAGAGCCTTGGCTGGGATACCTGCGTCTGGTCCGACGACAACCTCAGCACCAAGAAGCTGTACCCGAAGTTCCAGTTCCCAGCCCGCTCGAAGGCCTGGCAGCAAAGGCTGCGCACATCGGAGGACTCCATGACTCTGGCTGTCCGCAGGCTCCAGCAGAGCCACGTTCGATTGCCGGAGTACCAGCGAAAGAAGCCTGACTGTCATAGTGTGGAGGAGATTTCCGCCATGGCTGCTTGCGCCGTCAACCTCACCATTGAGATTCAGAAGTTGGCCCCCATTGCCCAGTCGAAACTGGAGGCTGAGTTTCTGCAGCCTTTTGGTGATGGCTGCCCCAACGTGGCTCAGGAGATCGAGGTGGCCTTGCTTGAGAAGTCTGAGGCCTTTGACATCCGCAACATGCAGACCTTCCGGAGGCTGTTGGACGAGCAGGTCTTTGCCAGGCCTGTGTCCGCAAGCAAGATCGAGGAGGACAGCCTTGTGGTTGACCGGCTGAACCTCGTCATCAAGCAGTGCCAGTACGACCAGCAGGTCTTCCACAACTGGATGAAGAAGGTGAGCAATCTCAAGAACGAGAGGGAGCAGCAGGAGCACACGTGGAAGTTGAGCCAGCGGGCAAAATGCAGCGCCGCGGCAGAGTTGTTCTGCAAGTCCTGCCTTCGGTTTGAAGTCTGGGACCCTAAGAAGCCGGAGAGTGCCATTGCTAGCATCATGGACTTCAGGCGCTTGACGATCACGGGTAAGCTGGGCCTTTCCCCGGACTCCAAGGATGTGGCGACCCTGATCTGGCTCAATTCCTCTGCGCCCTCCCTGGTCCCCGTCGGGATCGTGAACGCCTACATGCAGACATTGTCTTGGGCCTTGCATGACCAGCTCAGGGGCATGGCCGTGGTCTTGTCCCCCACATTCTCCTACGGGCGTGGCAAGCTGCACATCGAGGCCAGGACTCTGACGTCATCATGTGAGTCTTGTCATCAAATAAGTTTTTGGCTCGCAAGTCCCGACTGAGGAAAAGCTTCTGATGGAGTCGCTGGCGAAGGCCGGGAACCACAACCTCGATTGGCACTTCTCCATCTTGTTCAACAACAAGACGGATCAGAGGGATCAGCGGCCGATGAACTACCAGGGCCGCTTGGTCTTCAGCTCGGTCATTGATCCAACGACCAGCCCGTTCTGGAACTGTGATCTGCGAAAGACGCAGCAGATCACGACAGACCAGTTGCCTGCCCGGGCCATGCGTGAGCCGGAGAATCTGTCCGAAGACTCTTTGCCCGAAAGCACGGATGTCAGGTCGGCTTCAAGTGGGGCCAGCAAGTACTGGCAGATTGGGCCAGGGGCATGCGACGCCATGCTGTCTGCCACGTTGACGAACCTCAGTCCCCAGCCCTTAGGAACTTTGATTGTGGACCTGTATGTGAGGACCGGCGAATTTGCAGAGGCCTTCTTGAAGCAGAGGGCCAATCGCCCCAACACCTTCTTCATTGGGTTCTGTGAGTCCCAGACTGAAGGCACCTGGGTCGAGACGGTTCTGAAGTCCAGCTTGACGGACTCCTACCTGGCCGGTGCGGTCATGCCGGGAGGTGACAAGGTTCCAGAGAAGATGCCAGAGGACCTGTGTGATCCGCTGCCGCCGCAGCCACGACTGAACTTGCTTGCCTCTGGGGTCCTTCGGAATTTTTTGGATATTACTCTTAGGACCTATATCCTAATAACTTGATATCAATATTAATGGCCCGCTTTGTCAGGTCATTCGTGATGGCAAGTTGGCAATTCCGGTGGAGATTGTGAAGGAGTGGGGCACTCACCCTTTGGCCAAGGACTTCCAGGATTGGCTGAAGTGCTTCCAGGAGAGTGGCGGTGAAATCGTTGCTGCTGCTGGTGCGGATTCTGAGGCTGATCAGAAGCGCAAAGCTGCGGGCAACCCTGACTCCGAGCCCGCTGCCAAGAAGAAGAAGGGCGCGGTCAAGATTGATGAGGCCTTGATCGGTGAGGCCGATGCCATCTCGCAGGCCCTGCTGCACGAGTGCAAAGTGACTGTGACCAAGGACTCCGTGGGCATGCTCCAGGTCCGTGCTGGCTCAGAGGTCTGGCTCGTCAACAAAGGACCCAAGGATTTCGTGGCTGAGTTCCATCAGGTCTGTGGGTTTGGCCGTGGCAGCTTCAAACTGATGAAGCCAGAGGAGCAGCCTGTCGAGGGCCAGCGGTTTGTCGAGTTCAAGCTCACAGACTACCAGGACATGATTTACATCAACAATCAGTGCCTCACTGTTGGCCAGGCTGTCGCACAGCAACGTTTGACAAAGCCGGACTGCAAGGTCAGCTACCATGAAATTGTGCAAGACGCAGAGAAAGGCTTGAACGAATTTTCCCTGCGGCTGACTCACCGTGTGGTGTTCTCTTCCAAGATGGAGGAGGTGACCGCCGAGGCGACCTTCGGCAACCTCGCCCTCAAGGAGAACAACACGATCTGGTCAGAGAGCAAAGCTCTCTGTGTCTTGTGGCACTGCCGCTGGACTGCCAAGGGGCTGACTCCTGTAAAGCCCGCTGTCCACTTGAAGGGTGGCATTACGGTGAAGCCGGGCAAAGCCTTGAATTGCCATCAGAAGTAAGTTGCTGCAGAGCCTTAGGGCTTAGGGCGAATCATAAGTTTAGGGGTTTTAGGTTTAGGGGTTTAGGGTTTATAAGGGTTAATAACTTGAAGACTTGATGCTGCAGCAGCTGCTTGGCATAGGTGATTTATCTTTCTGTGATGCTGACAGAGCTCAGTGCAAAATGCACTGGCCTGGGAAGTCTGTGCATCGCCCAATCCGAACCTATCGTCGTGTGTCATGAGTGAGGCAGGTATTCGCACCAAGTGTTTACTGCCCTCGCCTCTCGGTGCAGCACTCAGTGGCCTCGGACAAAATGTCTAAACCCTTGCAGCTGTGCGACAGTGACCGCTTAGTGTGCTCTTGCTGCTTGTGCTGCTGGTTGTTAGGTTTAAAGTTTGAGTAGGTCTGGGTCTAGGACCTTGCTAGGCTACAGCAGCAACAGCTGTGGCCTAGCTTGGTCCTAGACCGGAAGAGTGAAGGCCAGGACTGAATGAGTGAATCTGAATCAATCTGTGAGTGAAATTTATTTTCTGTGCCATGAGTGTGACAGTGCTGACATGAGTACGTCCAGTGCCTGTCCTTCACCTTGAACTTGCGAGCCTGACTGAGTCTGTGCTTCGTGCTGAGAGCTGTCTTCGGCCCAGGCTCGCGATCCCTGACGTGTAGTCGCCATGGGGAAGAGAGACAAACGCCCGGGTAACCAAAAGCGGAAGTGGCGACGCCTTCGGGACCAGATCTTGGAGGAGGAAGAGGACGACGAGGAGACGTCGGATTCGTCAGATCGCAGGCGCCGAAGGAAGAACAAAAAAGTCAAACCTGAGGAGGTTGCAGAGCTTGTGGTGAAGATGCTGAGGAAGAGTGTTAAGTCCGAAAGCCAGCCAGAATGGGAAAGTCTGCCGGCTTCCTCCTGGGAGAGGCCGTCTTCGTCCTGGGAAGGCTCCTGGAGCAGGAGCAGCCGCTCAAGATCGTCATGGGAGAGACCGTCATCGTCCTGGGAGACTAGGCCCTCATCCTCATGGGAGAATAGGCCCGCCTCATCGTCTTGGAACAGCAGGCCCGCATCGTCCTGGGAGAATCGGCCCTCATCGTCCTGGGAGAATCAGCCCTCATCGTCCTGGCAAAATCGGCCCTCATCGTCATGGCAGTCCTCATCATGGCAGTCCTCATCATGGCAGGATCAGACTAACCAGGGATGGCAAGGCAGCAGCTCCAGGAGACGCCGCCGTGGCGGCGGTGGTACTCAGACGACAGCCGATGCTGCAGCAGGTCCTGACGCTGCAGGCTCAGCGGTGCCAGTCTCTGATGCAGTGCCAGATGTGACCCCGGCACCGGCGCCGGCGCCAGGCCCAGCGGCTGCTACAGACCCGGGTCCTGCTAGGGCCACTATCCTGGAAGTTGAGCATGCTCCGCCTGTCTGCATCGTTTGCTTGGAGCCAATGCGTCAGGGAGTGTACTTGCCGTGCGCCCATGGGCCTTTCCATCGTACCTGTCTCCAGCGCTCCGTTGAGCATGACACCCGCTGCCCAGTGTGCCGGACCCAACTAACAGCGGCAGATGTTGGAGCGATCCGAGCGTGGCCGACACTGGCACGACGACCGGCAGCAGGACCAGGACCAGGACTAGCAGCTGCTGCTGCAGCAGGACCTAAGGTAACCCCCTGAAACTCCAAACCCTAAACCCTGAAACGCTAGGTTCTTAAACCCTAAACCCCTAAACTCTAAACCGAAACCCGTCCAGGACCTGTGGTGATCGACGACGCTGCCCCTGCTGTTGCTCCTCCAGCAGGACCAGGACCAGCACCAGGAGCAGTGCCACCGGCAGCGGCAGCGCCAGCTCCAGGACCCGCGGCAGGACCAGAAGCTGCTGCAGAGGGCGACCCGATCTGAGTCATGTTGTAGACTTAGGCTTCTTCCGAATGGCAAATTTCAATGCTTGAGCTGAGACTGACAGTGTCCGCCGAGTGATTCGCTGACAGAGGACAGCGGGTTCTAACGAGCCTGCTGTGAATGATGTTAGCCTTGCTCATTTTGACTGACTAAAGTCCCACGGCTCACAGACTGCGGATCTTCCTGCGCCGCTCGATGGGAAACAATCTGAGAGTCTGGTGTCGAGTGAGAGCCGCGTCTGCAGCTGACTTGTCATTGTTTTCTCGAGCAGCACCAGCAGCAGGGACTAGGACCCCATGGATGGGGGCCTAGTCTATGGGGCCTGGCATGTGGGAAAGTGGGTGGGGCCAGGCCCCATTACAAGTTTCATACATATATATATATATACATACATACTTGAAAGGACAGACCAGGGGGCCTTGGCATGTGGGACAGTGGGTGGGGCCAAGGCCCACCTGAAATGAAGGATCTGGGGCCTGGCATGTGGGTCAGTGGGAGGGGCCAGGCCCCAGATCCTTACTGGGTTTTTTTGGCTATGAAAAAATTAGATTTGATATTCAATTTTGTTGTTGCTATTATTTGAAGATTTGGATACCCAAACCAGGCAAAGTTAACAACACTATTAAAAAAGATCACTACGCTTTTATGGAAAAAATCCTTCGGGCACGGGGAAGACGCACCTGGCGAAGCAAATCGTGACGCAGCTCTCGGCGCTCGGCGAGGGGGTCACGCTCATCTCGAAGACGCACTGCTCCGTGCAGAATCTGGGCATGGGAGCGCAGACGGCGGACCACTGGGTGCGGCGCACGATCCGCGCCGGCCGCTGCGCCCTGGACTGGCTGGTCGTGGAAGAAGTCACGCAGCTCGACGTCGGGCTCTGGGCCGACATCGCCCAGCTGTCGACGAACCGCGACGTGAGGTTCCTGCTGCTGGGAGATTTCAGCTGCCGCGGTGCAGGATGCCTTCGGCGGGGCGCCGGTGCTCCGGAACCTCAAGGAGACGCAGCTGCTCCACGACCTGGCCGGCGGCTGCGTGCACGAGCTCAGGGAGAACCAGAGGAGCGACGAGGGGATTTTTTCCTTCCTGGAGTGGTTGAAGGTGGACGAGGCGGAGCAGGTGGAGCTGTGGGGCGCCGTGCAGCGGGCCCGGGAGCTCTTCCCGAGGCGCGGGACGCCGGACACCTGCCTGGTGATCTCGCATGCGCACCGGATCGCCATCAACGACCGGGAGAACCGCAGGCTGGCGCCGTCGGACGCCGTGCTGCTGGAGCACCGCGGGTCGGGGCCGGCGGGGACCAACCAGCCGCAGACCATGCGTGTCTGGCCGGGGCTGAGGCTCGTGGGCGCCGGCGCGAAGGTGGCCAAGGGCCTCTTCGTAGAGGTCCGGGAGGTCGGGGAGCGGTTCGTGCTGGACGACGGACAGAGCTTCTCGCCGGCGGAGCTCCTGCGGTACACTCGCCTCTGCCACGCCATCACCTACGCGAGCTGCCAGGGTCTCACGCTCAGGGGGCGCGTGTGGCTCTGCGACGCCGACAGCCCGCACTTCTCGGTGAAGCACCTCTACGTCGGGGCCTCGCGGGCCACGAGCGCGGAGCTGCTCTCCGTGTGCTGATCGGGCAACCCGGGCATTTCCCGGTTTGGGGAGCTGCAAAAAAAAGGGCAGCATTCCGTTCCCCGACAGCCCCCCGCGAGGGAGGCTGAGAGGGTTCCCCGGCAGCCCCCCCGCCAAGGGGGACTGACAGGGGTGGCGAGGCTTCGGAGGCGCCCCATTCCCTGGACGCCTCCCCGGTGCCTCGCCGACCGGCGCGAGCTTCATCGGTGGCTGGCGGTTACTGATAACCCGCCAATTGAGCCCTGTCTCAGTCGGGCACCACCTCCACTCGCTGGGACCGCCGTGCCACAACCTAGAGCCTCTCCCCGCAAGCGAGGGTCATCAGCACTAGGCCCCGGCTCAGCGTGCCCCACTAGGATAGGAGTAGGATAGACGGCGGCGGGTGCGCGGCGCGGCGGGCGCGACACGAGAGGTGCGACAAGAGGTGCGACAAGAGGTGCGACAAGAGGTGCGACAAGAGGTGCGACAAGAGGTGCGACAAGAGGTGCGACAAGGGGTGCGACAAAGAGTGCGCGGCGCGGAACACGGGGCGCGGAGCAGAACAGCGATGGAACGAAACTGCAAGCGAGAGCGCGGAACGCGGCGTCCTTCGAGCACGCGGAACGACAAGAACTGACAAAAGCGCGGAGCAAAACTGCAAGCGAGAACGCGGAACGCGGCGCAAAAAGCACACCTCTCTCTGTGGGGAGTATTCCCCACCCCACGGTCCGTTGCAGTTGAGAGGATCGCGATTCTAAAATTCTCCGTGGACCTCGTAGGCCTCATCGGCTCTAAACTGCATCGTAGTGCAGTTTCGACCCTCAACGGAGCACTGCTCCTGGCGATTCTACGGCCCAAAATCTGCTCGTATTCGGAAGTCGAAGAGAGTGCAGGCCTGTGGACTCGCGAGCCTTTTTTTTGCGAGCGAGTCCACAGGCCTGCACTCTCTTCGACTTCCGAATACGAGCAGATTTTGGGCCGTAGAATCGCCAGGAGCAGTGCTCCGTTGAGGGTCGAAACTGCACTACGATGCAGTTTAGAGCCGATGAGGCCTACGAGGTCCACGGAGAATTTTAGAATCGCGATCCTCTCAACTGCAACGGACCGTGGGGTGGGGAATACTCCCCACAGAGAGAGTCAGGACAGCGAGACCCTTGAGGCTGCAGCGAATTGTGAGGGCCTCGGGCGCTGCAGCGACGGTGAGGGGCAGCTGGAGGCCTGGCTGCGGCGACTTTGCGGAGCACCTGACGTTCAGCCACTGTCAGACCGTGGGAGCTGCAACGATTGTGAGGCTGCAGCGACTGTGAGGGGCCACCTGGAGCAGCAGCGATTGTAAGGGGCACCCGACTGAGGCATGGGCCGCTGCGACTGTGGGCGCCTGGGGGGCTGCAACGACTGTGCAGCGACTGTGAGGGCTCGGGGGCTGCAGCGACTGTGAGCAGCTGGGGGCTGCAGCCACATCGGTAGCCACATCGGCCACAAACGGTAGCCACAAAGGGTAGCCACCGGTAGCCACGAACGGCAGCCACAAAAAACTATCCA